TACTGTCTATTTCTTCCTTTAAGTCATTTAAATTTTCCTTTAAGAATTTGGATGCTATGCCATTGGGTGGATATATGTTTGGAATTGAGTATTTAGGAAGGTACTATGGTACCTTAATTGGGCATATTTTTGCTTTTCCTTTGTCTGAGATCACAATTGTTATCTTTGGCTTTTTTTACCTCAACTCTAAGGCATAATAGATTCTGTACTGTCCCAAGCTTCAGGTTTTTCATGTGACTGTTTTCAGAGCTAGTTCTGGTTTCTGTACGTTTTCAGGGCTTCCAAGGTGGTCTGATCTGGGAAGAGGTGTGGTTACTGCTGTCCTAGACTCTGTTCTTGTGCTTACCCAGGAAGGGATATGATTGTTTCCTCCCCTCTAGCCACAAGTGCTAGCCCTCCTCTAGGCCCTGGAATGATAATAAGGTCTCCCACTCTGCTGTAGCTGCAAGTGCTGGTGCTTCCTTTCTGCCTTAGAACTGAGACGACTTGGGCCCCTGTTCCCCTGTGGTTGAGAGCACTAGTGTTCCTTTTTATCCTGCTGTTGCACCTAGGAACTGTAAATAAGCAATGTAATGGGACCCTGTACCAAATACCAACAAAGGGTCCCTCGTAATCTCTTTCTGACCACTTGGCTGACCTCCTTACTGTGTCTGGGCTGAGAGCTCCCAAAGCTGTGTCCATTGCTATTGTAGCTGCCTCCAAGACCTTGCGCCGCCCTCTGGGCCAACCCCCATCTCCGTGTCAGACTTCTCCTGCCGGCTTCCAGCCTCTTGGGCTGGAAAAATGTCTCACCCTGACCTTTTACTGGCTCTTCTACTCCAGAATTCAATTTGAGGAATTATTTTAAAATTATTTGGAGGGAAACATTGGGAGAGTTCAACTGTGTTGCTGCCTGTCCTTTGCCATTTTGGTTCTGCCTCCCCTAAAAGGCAGTTTTTATTATTTGTCACTTAACCCGCTGGTTCCAATACTTTTTAGAATTTTTTCCTATGACTTCTAGAAATATCTAGCTTTTGTCTTTTGTTTGTATCATCATTCTATTATAGGACCTTGATGTTTTAAAAATTTGTTCTTTGCACTCAGTTTCCCAGATGAGTTATTTTTATAGTGTTTACATTAAATGCTCTTTCAGTTGTGTTTTTGATGGATATTTTTTGCTATTTTTTCTTATGTTATCATTAATTTTTTTTTATCCTATTTCCTCCATCCTTTTTTCAGAGTGTCCACTGTTCTGTTATAGTTTCCCAGCTTCTGTTCTAAGATCCATGTTTCTTCCTTTAGTTCTTATGTTAGGCTTTCAACCCACTCTCAGAGCCATTTTTATTTAATTCATTTTTTTTCAGTGGTTCCAAGTATGTTTATTGCAGGATTATTCTCTTCTGCTTCATTGTTTTAGGTGCTTGCATATTTCCTTAGTCTTTTCAGTGGTTGTTATACTTTTTTTTTCCTAAAGCCTAAACTTTTCTATTGTCTCCCACCCACTTTGAAAAGTAGAGGATCATTGTAAATTAAATCACTCTTTAAATACAGAGGTTGTCTAGTAGATAAAGTACTGGGGCTAGAGTTGGAATAATTGAATACAAATCTGGCCTTAGACACTTATTGGCTTGTGACCCAGGGTAAGTCACTATACCTCAGTTTCCTCAACTACAAAATGGTGAAAATAATATTACCTACTTCTCAGAATTATTGTGAGGATTAAATGAGATAATGTTTGTTAAGTGCTTAGCACAATGCCTGGTACATAGTAGGCATTAAATAAATGTTTGTTTCCTTCTTTTATTAAGAAAGTAAGGGGCAGTTAGGTAGCACAGTGGATAGAGCTCTGGCCTTGGAGTCAGGAGGACCTGAGTTCAAAGCTGTCCTCAGACACTTGACACTTAGTAGCTGTGTGACCCTGGGGAAGTCACTTAACCCCAATTGCCTCACCAAAAAGCCAAAAAAAAAAAGTATGTACTTAACAAAGCACTGAGGAATTACACTAAGCTTTAGTATTAGTATAACACTGAAGCAATATTTACCAGCTACTAAAACACTACAACTGGAATCAACTTCCATGTTAGACCTGTCCAAATCCATGAGTACTGCTGCAAACACTAGTTCCCAAAGGCATTCTGTCATTGTCCCTCTGCCTGTGACATAACTCTATGACGTTATTGTCTTGTGATAAAACAAGACTATCTGATGTCAGGTTAGATGAACTGTTAAGACAGCTTCTCACTCTATTAAGATGGATTTTATCTTCATCAAACTACTTAACTTCTCTAGCTCTCAATTTCATCATCTGAAAATGAGTGGGGTTGGACTTGATGAGCTCTGAGGTCCCCTCCAGCTCCACATCCCCTATCATTGCTCCTGTGGGAACCTGTGAATGTCATTTCCCAAACTGACCATTCTTGTAAAATCTGCCCTTCACATCTTTAAATTTCCTGAGGCAGCATCATTCTCTGCCACTTGAGTAAAGTGTTGATACATCTGAACTGATCTGCTGATAATGTAACATGTGCACATCCATAATTTCATTGGGTATATTGCTAAGAGCCCTCTACCTGCACGTTATGGGCAGCATTTATATCTGAAGCTATTTCTTTAGCTTGAGTAACATGTAGAGTTTTGTATCCAACTTGCTTAGCATCATTATAAAGGTTTGATTTGGTTCAGTAAGAGGCATCACTGGAGGACTTTATTGTCGACTCCACATACCTGGTAATATCAAAACATTACTTAAGAACAACCCCCACCCATCACCCACCCTAGATTACATCACCAGAACCTAAGGTACAATTCTGCAACATAAGCAGAAATATCTTTGCAATCTGATTTCCCAGATTCTGTCTATGAAACTTAAATTCATGATTTAAAGTAAGGATGGTGCTGATGACATAATGCACTTTCAATAATCTCAAAAAATTTCCAAATACTTGACCAATTTGTTGTCATTGAAAATATACATGTGTACATTTACATATATACATACATACACATATTTTTTTAATGTAATAATTCCCTGCTGTGTATGCCAGGAGCCCAGGATATTGAGGGAATCATACTATGGCATATATGAAGGCCTCTTAAACTGTTAGAAGACTCATACACTTATGTTCAGAGCTCTCTACTTTTGTTTTTGTTTTTTGCTTCAAGATAGATAAGTCCATCCCCATAGAAATTCCAGGAAGTGAGCTGAATGACACATTATAACTTTTTAAAAAATATATGTATTCTAAACAATCCATTTTAAGCACAGCATTCAATCAGGTTCCAAGGTGGTTTTGCTTAAGTTCCCATGACAGGTTGTGGAGAAAGTGCTGGACTAGGAGTCAGAGAAACCTGGATTCAAAATTATGTATGATACATATTAGTGTCTGTTCTGGCAGATCTCTGGTCCTTAGTGTCTTTATCTGTAAAAGACAGATAGGCCTGTAGGACTTATCTCACAGAATCACTGAGAGACTCAAATGAGACAATGTAAGAAAGTACTTTGCAAACCTGAAAGAATCATTATTCTGCTTTTTTCAAAGCAGACTTATACCAACCATGATTGTGCAGATTTAAAAGAACTCTGTTACACCCATAAGTTGTGCTAAATATTAGGGAAAAAAAGAAAACTATTAGGACTCCAGTAGAACTTCAACATGTGGTATTGTACCACTGTAAAGAACTATTCTGGGCAAATCTTATGATCACACAAGGCAGGATACAACTATAGGAAAAAATACTACCACCAGAAGTAAGAACACTGTCCCCCTGGGCCCCTGGTGTACACAGCAGGGAACCACTCCATAAAGCAGGTTGTGAAAAGGAATATTGCCTGAACCAGTTCTCTCATCTGAAGCACTAGGGTGAGAAGAGCAGAGGCTGGTGATATCACCCTAGCTCAATCCTTAGGACACCTGGTAACTTTGTTGCTTGGATTACTGCTTCCATGACTACAGCAGGCCAATGCTAGACCAGTGATCACCAATTCAGCAACACCACCATTACCACCACCAAAAATTAGGTTCTTACTCTCTTTTTTTCAGATGTCTAAGATATCATTGGTTATTTTTTCAACATATTACTGACTCTAATAATGATAATAATAACTTGAATTTTTATGACACTTTAGAGATTGCAAAACCATTCACAAATATTCTGATTTTATATTCAAAACAACCCTGGGAGATAGGGTCTATTATTATCTCCATTTTACAGATGAGGAAGCTGAGACAGACAGAGGTGAAGTAGCTTGCCCAGGGTGGCAGAGTAGTAGTGACTGAGGTCAGATTTGAACTTGGATCTTTCTGACTACAGGCCCTGTGCTCTATCCACTGGGTGACCTACGTGCCTATACTAAGGAAATACCTCAAGCCCTGGGAAAATGTGGCTCATTTTATTTCCTCATGCTGTTCTTCAAAGAACATCTGTCAATAAGCCAAATTTTCAATGCAAACTTATACATGTAGATTTTGAATGTTAGTTGTGAAAATCATTCATTCACTCCATGCATGTGACCTATATAATGACCTTTCTGTATTTTGTTTTTACTGTTTAGTCTAACAGGCTAAATTTAGAATATACTATTCAAAAGCTGTATAGATAACCATTTAAGGAGATGTCTTTTCTCAAACCAACACATAACATTCAAACACACAATACATTTTTATGCTCTGAAAAAACAGAAGCTTACCATAGAATTATGTTCTATACACTTTTCTAAGAGCAGCAGAAAAGCTCTGCCCCTCCCCAATTTAAAAAAAAAAATCTCTTACAAGAAACTGCAGAATATTTCTGACATTATTTTAAATAACTTATATCTCACACTACACGACTCCGGGCCATTAATTCTGCTTGCTTTTTCAACAGGCAGTAAGTACTAGGCTTAATGCACCACAGATTTTAAATAACTAATTCATATTTAACTTTACATTTACTATGCTTTAAAATGTAAAAAAAAAAGCTCAGTTCATTAGATAATGTTTTCACAGACCACTCTTTGGCAAAACAAAGTAGTGATAACTTACGTCAAGCTTCTGGGCTTTTAAAACATAAAGAAAAATTTCAGAAGCTGTCAAATGTCTGGGTAGTTTTGAAGGCATGTTTACTCTGAAACCAAAGAAGGCACAGTTCTGAAGAGAGATGGGAAAAATCATAGAATAATAATTATTTGACTTTTCTTAGTTTTCTGGCATATTTTCATATGATACTACTTAAATGTATCACTTTAAAATTTTAACAATCTTTTAAAAATTTCTCTCTATCAATCATTTAATTCATAAACATTTATTAAGTTCCTACTAAGTTCTAGGCACTGTGACACTAAATTAAACCCCTCCACCCTCCACATACCTCACAATGTTCTGCCTTGCTGGCAATTGAAGCACTTGGTATACTCAAATACTAACAGAATAAGATACTTAGGTAGTGAGTTTGAAAAATGTACCCAAATGTTCAAGATATAAGCTATAGCATGCCAGGAAATGACCCAGCAAAGAAGATCTCAATGCTCACAACTGTCTTCATCTCGTTCTTTCCTGAGTGCCCTGCTGGTACTAGCTCCACCGTCTCTCCCAGGGTCTTAGCTATCATGGCAATTGCTACCACCTATCTAGAATTTTTCTAGAGTCTTTTTTTTTTAAGGAAATCACAAAGAAAGAAAATAAAGTCTAAAAGTCTGGCTTGGTACAGTTTACTGGGCAATAACGCCCAGTTAATTTTCCTGCCATGAACTAGTCTGACAAACTACATATGACCTAGTGCTCCCTGTGAACATCATTGCCACCCCCGCGGGATCCTCTTTCTGTCTCTTTTTAGCCAGAGGAGCTGGGACAAAAGACTTAATTAAATCACCATTTCTGATTCAAGAAAGAAAAAAAATTAAACTGCCTTAGGGATATGTTGACATACACAGCAGAATAAGTTTCTAGGAATAATGAACTTATTCTATTTTTTTTAGTACAATAAGACTAAGAGAAGGATGCTCCTATTTCAGTCTTATGATGCTGAAGGTAGAGAATCAGGGTTATCAGCCAATAAAGCAGATATCCAACACTATCCAAGATAAGAAAGCTATAGTGATTAGCAATGATGATTGACTGCAGGATACAGCCACATCTAGTGGAGCTAAAAATGTCCTTTTTCTTTTAAGGTTTTAAAATAATTCAGGAATATGGAGCATTTTCATCATTATTGAAATGACTATTTCCAGAATTGATAATTCCATTAACACTACCATAGATGAAAAATGTTTAACATTCCCTAAAATGTTTTTATGGAAGTTAATTCAATTACTTAAAATGCTATCAAAGTATATGATATATTTTAAAATTAAGGACAATTTTAAATTATAAAAGTACAAGAGAATAGTTTAAAACATTCTATATGAAGGATTAAGAATAAAAACTAAAGTAAGTGTCAGAAATATCTAATATTAAAATTTAAGTTCAAACAAATCTAAACCTTTATTTTTTAGGATTCAATATATAAATTCATATTAATTCAAACATTCTTTAACACAGTATATTGGTTTAATCTAAAATGCATTCTTATAGAAAAGAATTTTTAAATACCTCTACAGTCTTCTTTTCAGTTGTAGCATATGGATACTGAAAAATAGTTTTAAAAAAAGCTTCAAAACTCATATAAAAACTCTTATTTGCCCTTAAGTTTTATCTTTTCTTTTTGGATTAACAACATAAATTGCTATATATGTTAGGTTTAATATTCATAAGTATTGGTTCTAAATAATTGACTAAGGGTTTTTATGAAACTGGATTATTTACATATAAGTTATTTTACTATGCTAGAGATCATCTATTTTAAAAATGTATATGTGCACATATATGCTATAATTGCTATACTTGCTATAATTATTTCAACAACAAACTGGCCAAATTGACTACTCTTTTCAATGTTTACTTTTCTTCAAGCAGGATCCATCTGAATTCCCCTAAATTTAGTCTACTCTCTATCCACCTCTTCCCTTCTCTTTTTTTTCATTCTATACTTTTTAAAAGAGGGCTTATTTTATACACATGGTTTAAATACCAGTTAAATTGTGTTTTTAAAATAATTAATTTATTTTTAGTTTTCAACATTCATTTCCATAAGATTTTGAATTTTAAATTTTCTCCCTCTTTCTTCCCCTCGCCCCAAGATAGCATGCAATCTGATGTAGGCTCTACTTATACCATTCATATTAAGCATATTTTCCCATTAGTCATGATGTAAAGAAGAATTAGAACTGATAGGAGGAACCATGAGAATGAAGCAAGAAAACAAAGCAACAAAAGAAATGGAGAGCAAAAAGTATGCTTCCATCTGCATTCAGACTCCATAGTTCTTTCTCTGGATGTGGACAGAATTTTCTAAATGTGTTTTGATTATAAATCTTGATCACTGGTCTTTATTTCCAACATGTTCAGATGATCTCATACTTTGTTTTTGTCATACTGGCTATCATTTGAGAGCAGGCAATTTCACCTAGGTTAACTATTTTAGACCAGTTATGCTTATAATGAATCATACATTTTGTTAGAAAGGCAACATAGTATAACTCTAGAATAGAGTAATAAATGGTAGGTTTGTGAGTACTTAGGGAAGTAGTAGCCAGCCCACTAATAGCCAACCTATTTTCCCAAACTATAACTCATTTCAAAAGACCACAATCATCTTTTTAAAAGGGTTACTAGACTATTCAATCAGAAAATGCAGTCATTGGGATTTTAACAGGTATTTGACAAAGTCTCTTACAAGAAACTTCAGGACAAAATGGAGAAATGTGAGCAAGATGATAGGACACTTAGGAGATTCATAGTTGGTTTAGCGATCATTCCAAATGAATACTGATTAATAAATTGATTTAAACCAAGTTTAAAAAAAGGGGCAGGGGAGGGAGAATCCTTAGTGGTATGCCACAGGGTTCCTCTGTCTTTGGCTGTGATTTGTTCAATATTTTTAACAATTTGAATGAAGATAGAAAAGGCATGCTTAAGAAAACTGATAAATTTGCTGGGAGGCATAGTTAATAGTTTAGATAACAGGATTATATTGAATATAAATGAAAAACTCCTGAATTTAAACCTCACAGAGACACACAGATGCTTAAACACACACACACACACACACTCCCTTTAGCCATCCAAGTACAGGAGAGATTTAGTTAGATAGTAGTTAATGTGAAAATAACATAGATTTAAGCAGACTGTAAGTAAACAGTAGAATGTTTTGGCATTTGCCAAAGAAGCTAACAAAGTTTTAGGTTATATTAACAAAAATGTAGTGTCCTGATCAGCTCTCAGAACACATATGGAATGTTATGTTTGGTTTTGACTGTCACGGGATATAATGGGTCTGGAAACCATTCCTTGGATGCAATGGTTAAAGTAACTGAGGGTGTTTACCCTGAAGAAGAATGATATTATATGAGGAGACTGAGACTCAAGAAATCTGGTTTATTTCTGTATCTACCATGAATTTCCTATGTGACCTTGGGTAAGTCATTTCAATTTCTCATGCTGGACCTTGGTTTCCTAATAAGCCATAAATTCTCTTCAGAACTTCTAAATCTAAGGTTGGAAGGGTTTTTTCTTTTTAAATATTTGATTTTTAAATTTTTACCTTTATATTACTTTCCAATTAATTTTCCACACCCAATAGAACCCTCTACTACAACAAAGTTTGCTGCTGTTGCTGTTCGGTCATTTCAGTCATGTTCAACTCTTTGTGACCCCATTTGGGGTTTTCTTGACAAAGATACTAGAGTGGTTTTCCATTTCCTTCTGCAGCTCATTTGAGAGATGAGGAAACTGAAGCAAACTTGCCCAGAGTCACACAGCTGGTGTCACCTCTGAGGTCAGATCTGGTATATTATTATCCTTAAAAGGGGGCCACTAACACTTATTGGCCTCAGTTCATAGAGAAAAATATGAGGTTAAGTGAGATTCAATATTGCAAACAATACACAGTGTGCTATTTTAAAAAATAGTTGGAATAGGATATTGAAGCAGGTATGAGAAGGGGAGGAGGAGATATGTGCCCCAGACTAATCAAGCTTTTTCATCAGGCACCTGGGAAAACTACAGCCTCCTTCCTGGTCATGCATAGGTGGAAAACCTTGAGGGAGGTGATAATAATAACAAGACTACAAAATATACTCAGAAAGACCACAATGGCATGTCAAAATTAACAAGGTTATGATCTAAGGGACCTAGGAGAGAAGACAGAATTTGTCTTCAAAGGTTTGAAGGGATGTTATGTGAAATAGGAAGTGTATATTCTCCATGTTGTTCCAGAGGGTAAATAAAGCTAGGATGAGTAAGTAGGAGGAAATCACAGGGGGGCAAATTTTGGCCTTATAAAAAGAACCTCCTACCACATCACACCTATCAGATTGGCCAACATGACAAAACAGGAAAATGATAAATGGTAGAGAAGATGTGAGAAAACTGGAACGCTATTGCATTGTTGGTGGAGTTACAAAATGATCCAACCATTTTGGAGAGCAATTCGGAACTATGCCCACAGGGTTACAAAAATGTGCATACCCTTTGACCCAGCAATAGCACTTCTAGGACTGTATCCTAAAGAGATCACAAAAATGGGAAAACTTCCCACATGTAGAAAAATATTTATAGCAGTTCTTTCTGTGGTGACAAAGAACTGGAAATTGAGGGGATGCCCATTAATTGGGGAATGGCTGAATATGAATGTGATGAAATACTACTGTGCTATAAGAAATGACAAATAGGCAGACTTCAGAAAACCTGGAAAGACTTGTATGGACTGATGTTGAGTAAAGTGAGCAGAACCAGGAGAATGTTGTACGTAGTAACAGCCATGTTATGTGATAACTAACTTTGATAGACTTAGGTCTTCTCAGCAATGCCAGGATCTAAGACAACTCCAAAAGTCTCATGATGGAAAATGCAGTCCACATCCAGAAAAAGAACTATGGAGCTTTTTGTTTTGTTTTTTCTTTCTTGTGGTTCCTCCTGTTGGTTCTAATACTTCTTTACAGTGTGACTAATCTGAAAATATATTTAATAGGAATGTATGTGTATAGCCTATATCAGACTGCACACCATCTTGGGGAAGGAGGTGGAGAGGAAGGTGGAGAAAATTTAAAACTCAAAAGCTTATGTAAGTGAATGTTGAAAACTAAAAATAAATAAATAAATAAATAAAAAGAACCTCCTAAAAATTACAACTGCCCGAGAATGAAATGGACTTCATTGTGATGTAATTTCCATGTAACTGAAAGTATTCACACTGGTTGGCTATCTGTCAGAGATGTTAAGAGAGGATTCCTGTGTGGGGAGGGTGGCTTTCATTGATTATAATGTAAAGAGCACCTATACGGTAGTCAGAAAAGCTACCAATGACTGTTGTACTCACTTGAAGACTCTGAAGGTCTGGGTCTTCCTATCTCTCTCAGGCTGGAAGTGTAGGTGCCATTTGTAGGCCTAGTATTAATGATATGTATAGAGTCATATAGATGGTAAGTGTCTGAGGCAGGATTTGAACTCAGGATTTCCTAACATCATGTCTAGTACCCCTCCCAGGGGCCTACTATATTGTGGCACAACTTAGTGTGAATACCTAATAGTCTTTAGCCCAACCATAGCTCAGAACTCCGAAGTCTAAACTATTCAACAGCCTCAACTTCCCCAAGGAGCTAGGATTACCATGCTAGGTTTGAGAAGAATAATTTCAAAAGCTGGGAACAGAGCTAAAACAAATCTATTCCTTAAGGTTTTTTTAGTGACTTAAGAGTGGGAAAGGAGGGGTAGCTAGATGGCGCAGTGGTTAGAGCACCGGCCCTGGAGTCAGGAGGACCTGAGTTAAAATCCGGTCTCAGACCAGACACTTGACACTTACCAGCTGTGTGACGCTGGGCAAGTCACTTAACCCCAACTGCCTCACTAAAAAAAAAAAAAAAGTAGGGAAGGAAATAGGTACCAGTGCACATTATTCCCAGTAGGGCTCACTATATTAAGAAGTTGCAAATTAAATCAATGCTGGTCTCAAATGGAATCCTGAGATGTTGCCATAAGGCAAGCCTAATTTCTTAAAGAGCAAAAGAAAGGCAATTTGACAAGTTTTGAGTGTCAAAGTCACTTTCTAAAAGTAGCTATTAAAGTGACAGATGCCTTTAAGTTTACAAAGCAAAATTATAATGCTTAAATTATTCTTTTATACAAGTAAAAAGATTTTGAGAACCCATATGTAAATAAACTCTTATTTTAAAGCCAAAAAGAGCTTAAAAATAAAAGCATCCATGATCTAATTAGAATTTTAAAGAGAATTGGTATGAGATGATAACTTCCATTACTCTATAAGGCTTTGAATTCAGCTAATCCATTAAAAAAAAAGCAGGTTGGTTGTTACAGCCACAACTTTGCTAACTACTCAGTCCTCAATCCCTTAAAATCTGGTTTCTGTCCTCATCAAATCTACTGATACTGTTCCCTCAAAAATCCCCCAATAATTCCTAATTCCCTAACCTCAGTTTATCTTCTGCTTGACCTTTCTGTAACATTAGACTCAATCACTCCACCATTTTTTTTTCAGCTTCACATACAACTTTATTAATCCATTCCCCAGGGTTGGAAGACAGAAGGCCAGGTGCCTGGCCTACCTAGGGACAACACTCTCCAGAGATAGCTCTATGCGGTCTTCTTGTTCTTCATGGAGTCCATGAGCAACTTCAAGTGCTTAGGGAAGGAGAGTGGAGGGGGTAAGGCCTGGCTGGGGCCCAGAACCTGGGCCTTGACCATTCCAGAATCGGACATCCAGGGCTGCACAGCAGTGTTTATGGGTGAGCCAGGTAAGGCATTGCCCGGGGGCCAGGGCTCGTTCTGGGGCCACATCTCGAGTGAATCACTGCTGGAACGGGTGGTCCAGACTGGACGGAAGGTGAGTTTCATCCACCAGGGTAGAAAAAACCAGGGCTTTGTGGTCCAGCTCCAGGTTCTCACAGGTGTGGTCGTAGCAGGTGTAACAGGGGTCAGGATCGTGGGCCGAGATGGTAGTTGACTGTAGGTCACGGCCTGCCCAATCTTGGAGGAGATCCAGTCCAGAAAATGCCAGGTGGATGTGTAGATGCCTGGCTTATAGGCCCGGGCACAGCCAGACCCCCAGCTCGTGATGCCGACCACCGTGTAGATGCCACTGAATGAGTCTTTACACATGAGTGGCCCACCACTGTCCCCCTGGCAAGTGTCGATCTTTCCCTCCGCGTAGCCAGCACAAACATTGTCGTGGTGAACAGCCCCATAGTACCAGCGGCTTCCGTTGCACGTCTTTGTATCTATCATGTTAACCTCGGCTTCCTGAAGTATCTTAGATGGGACACCCGCACCTTCTTTTTTGTACCCCCAGCCAGCAATGGAACAATTCTCCGTAGGCAGGACTTGGACCTCATTACGCCGAGGCAGGCAGGCAATACGGGCCAAGTCCCCACACTCGATTGGTCTGTCCATCTGCATCACTGCAATGTCATTTTTCTGAAAGTACTTATTGTAACGTTCATGTAATATAATCTTGATCACCTTTCGCTCTTGAATTCTGTAGTCCAGGGGACCGTAGGTCCATCCTAGTGGAATATCCCATGCGCCAATCAACAACCGCCATACACTTAAGTTATTTGCGTCAGTTTCAAAGCAGTGGGCAGCGGTGAGAACCCAATTTGGAGCTATGACGGAGCCTCCACAGACATGGTACCTGTATCTACCGTTCCAGTACTGTTTCTGTATACTGACTATCCAGGGCCAAGACCCTCGGGGTGCGTCTGCTCCCCCAACGATACGAGTGCCAGATGGCTTGATCATTGGCCTCTGTCCACAAAGGCCTGAGCATACTTCAGCATCAGCTCCCATAGTCCCCAGGAGGGACAACAGCACCAACTGCCACAACATCCCAGTCGCCATCATCCTCCAATCTGAGGTGGAAGCCTGGAAGAACTCCCAGTTGTATACTCTCTGGCCAATCACAGGCCTGAGCCTCTGTGATGCCAGAATAGAATGTGGGGGGAGGGGTCCCTTAAAGACAGAGAATATGCAAGTGGCCTCCACTCCCATGGGCCCTTTGAGATCCACAAAGCATTTGCCATACAAAAGCCCCACGAGCCATGTGATACTGTTGAGGTTTCAGAGGTTTAGGGATACTGGGACCCTAGAAGAGTGACACGCTAGTTGAGTCCTGCCCAAATGAATTTGACCGAAGCATTCTTTCAGCCAAAGACAAGATTTATTAAAGATTTGCCATATTGGCCAGACTTCTAAGAAATCTGAACATTTGTGACACACATATTGACAAACTGGCTAGAGTAAGTCTCAGCCATTGCCTAGATTTTAAGGATTTGAGCACCTAAATGGAGGCTAGAGGGACCTCATATACAGAAAGGATCTAGGAGTAGCCAAGTTGTTTGGGAGGAGGGGTCTAGGGAGGATCTTGATGGGAGTGACTGGGAGATAGAATGGGTTCTAGATAGGATCAAGGGTAGGATGTAGCTGGGGGCCATCCTGAGGTAACAGACAATGGAGGGCTGGGCTAGGTTAAGGATAACAGAGAATTGGGAGATTGGGCATAGCCATAATGAAAGGCCAGCTGAGAGGATTATTGGGATGATGCCTCAGACAAATGCCAAAGACTTGACCAGTGGAAGAAAACTCAACAAGAGTTGGGGAGGGAGGTTTCCTAGGGCTTGTACCCCTTAAGCCCCCCCCCCAAACAAATGAGACCCAAATTCTTTGGTGTAAAGGGTGAAGGTCTTGGCTTCTGAAACTGCTTCCTGCTGGCAAGGGGTGTAGAGCTGTCCCTGCCTCGCTGGATCCCATTCAAAGGGTCAGACTTCAGGTCCAGTAGACTAGAGACCTTGGGCTCAGTTGGAGTTGGTATATAGAGATTAAGCAAACAAGGACCAAACAGCCACAAAAGGAGTATAGAGAAAAGACAGTTTCCTTGGAGGGAATTAAAGTTGACTATGGCAAGGTCCAAAACATAAAAGGAAAAGGGTATGTACGATTTCACCTCTCTTTATTCACCTGTCTACTTGAGGAAGCAGGGGCCTTTCTAAACAGTAGCTAGAGGTCCTCCAAAGATACACTGGTATATTCCAGAGTCTCTGGGTACAAGTTGGGCAAGCCCAACAGACTTGTCGGGTGGTTTCTCCTAGCTTACTGCCAGTTTGGACAGCTTTTGAACAAAATGGCTGGAGGCAAGAAGGCCATTCAGCAGCCACAGAGTCTCATTGTTTTGAACAATAAGCAACTGACTTGGGGTCAGGTCCTAAGCACTAGGTTAGGACCCCCAAAGCCTGTCCTCTCCTTTCATCCACATACAAAGGAAAGGTTTTTCTAGATTGGGTAGAGCTAATAGTGTGGTGGTCAATTTAGTTTTCAAAGTCTCAAAAGCTTTAGCCTGGTTGGGGCCCCACTCTAGAGGGAATGAGTCAGGGACTTGAGTAGAGTTATAAAGGGGCTTAGCAATATGACCAAAATTAGGGATCCAGAGTCTACAAAATCCAGCCATGCCTAGAAAAGTGCAAAACTGTTTCTTCAGTGGCTGGAACAGGGATAGATAGGATTACCCTCTTCCTTTCTGAGATTAAGGATCGAGAGGAGAGCGTTAGTTTGTGGCCCAGATACTTTACAGACTGGCATGTGGACTTTGTTCAAAGAGACCATATAGCCTCAAATACCCAAGCAATTAAAAGCTCCTGTGGCAGCAGCCAAAGAAGCCTCCACAGTGGGGCTACAAATAAGAAATTTGTCCACATGTTAAACTACTATCAGCTAGTTTCAGATCCCTTAAATCCCTTCCACAAGCCTGGCCAAACAAATGAGTGCTATCCCAAAACTCTTGAGGCAAGACTGTCCATGTTAGCTGACATGGACCTGATTTCCCAGGGAGTGTCCATTGAAAGGCAAAAATAAATTGTGAGTCTGTGTGAAGAGGTAACAGAAAAAGGCATCTTTGAGATCTAGAGTGGAAAATCATTGGGTACCCCAAGGATCTGAGTGAGTATAGTATATGGGTTGGGGACTATGGGGTGTATCAGAATAAAAGCTTCATTAACAGCCCTGAGATCTTGAACCATTCAGTATTCTCCATTAGGCATTTTTATAGGAAGGACAGGGGTGTTACATGGGGATTAACAAGGGACAAGGGTTTTACACTTAAGGAATTTTTCAATCAATGGTTGTAGTCCTTCCCAGGCCTCGGGCTTAAGTGGATATTGATGATGATGGAGGAACACACTAGGGTCTTGGGGGGTGAGTGACGGCTGGGGTGACATGAGTAGCTCTCCCAGGAATTCCTTGATCCCAAACAATTGCCTCAACTGTCTCCCATAATTCTGGGTGAGCATGGGAAGGTCTGGTGAACAGAGAGGAAAGGGAGATGGGAGGCTTAACTAGAGAAAATTGGCTTCCCAATTTCAACATCAGATCCCTTCCCAACAAGGGGGTGGGACAAGAGGAGATGATAAGGAAGGAATATTCAAACAACAGATTCTTAAATAGGCAGGGGAGGGGGTATGTCTCATGACATCCCTTAGTTTTCCCTTTGATGCCCATGACTCAATATGTTGAGGGGCAAGTAGGGCCAGAGTAACTGGTTAAAACAGAGAATGTAGCCCCCATATACAGTATAAATCAGGTAACCTTACCTTTAACCTCGATTTTTGCCCAGGGCTCAGCGAGAGAGATGGAGAAAGTGGGAACATTGCCACGCCCCAGGCCCTCTCATCATTCTGAGTCTTGAGAAGAACAGTGTACTAGGGGGTGGCTCCACCACTTTTCCAACCTTGAGAAGAGTCCTTCCTCCAAAATCCTTCCCAGTCACATCTTGGGCACGGTCCCAGAGGCATCAGTCCTGGTGGCTCCCTCCAAGGTGGTGCCCTGGAAGGGCACTCCTTGGACCAGTGGCCCTCCTTGTGGCATCGAAAGCAGGTTTCTCCACTGCTTGAGTCTCCAGGAGCACCCTTGAGTCTTCTCCTGGCCATGGCAGCAGCCAAGAATTGAGCATGTTTTCTGTCTCTTTCCTCTCTTTCTCTTTCTTTTGCTACTGCTAGGTCTCTGTTGTTAAAAACTCCAAAAGCCATCTCCAGCAATTGGGCTTGAAGTGTTTGGGGTCCCATTGCCAATTTCTGCAGTTTTCTCCTAATATCTGGGGCAGACTGATTAATGAAATACATGCTAAGGATTGCTGCTCCTTAGAGTCAGGATCTAAATTTGTATACTTCTTAATAACTTCTACTAGCTGGTCTTGGAAAAGGGCAAGGTTTCCCTTTTCTCCCTGAGTAATTTCCTTAATTTTTAAAAAATTTATTTGCTTTCAAAATGCCATTCTTAGACCTTCTAAAAGGCAAATTACCATATCGTCTCTCTTTCTCCTATACTTACTCTGATAATCCCATCCTTGGTCACTAGTGGGAACAGCAGCTGTTCCTGGGGGTTTTTTTATGGGGTCACTGGCTCAAATTGTTGGGACACGTCCCTGAAGCCCTCAGTCAACTTAGTGGAATCTTCTGAGTATTGCTCCAATGTCTCTTTAACCTGAATGAGTTCTGATATAGAGAACACAACATACACTCTAATTGTCCCATTAGGTGAGGCAGGCACTTCTGTTAGAGGAAAAAGCTTGGAAGGTGCTGTGGGAACGAGAGCTTGGGAAGGGAGATAGGAAGTCCCACATATTGTGAGTGAGGGGCTGGGGAGTGCCAGCTGAACAAGACTGGACTGCAAAGCCAGGGAATCTGTCTGGCAAGTGGATGGACATCCCATTATCTTTGAAAAATCTCTTCATACTGTTTTCTGTGACCCTGGATAAAGACTCTTCCTCTTCCTCCTCCTCCTCCTTCTTCCCACTCACTCTCTGGCTTCATTTCTGGCTCCTTTTACTCCTTCCTCTCCAAGATTCTTCCCTTCCCCTCTTTCTCTGCTTTCTCTACATAATCTCTCTTGGTGAATTCATCTACTTCGATGTGTTCAACTATCATTATCTGTATGACTGCCTCCCAAATCTGTATTGACAGTTCTGCTCTTTCCCTCGAACTCTAGACTCATATTAAATTTTTCATTATTTATTTATTTATTTATTTTAACCTTCGTTTCTTTTTAAATTTTGAGTTCCAATTCTCTCCCTACTTCCAATTCTCTCTCCACCCACTGAGAAGGTAAGCAATATATCAATTATACATGTTAAATCATGCAAAACAAATGTCCATATTAGCCATATTTAAAAAAAAAAAAGGAAGGAAACTAAAGAAAGTGAGAAAATCACACTTCAGTTTACACTCAGAATTCATCAGTTCTCACTCTGGAAATGGATAGCATTTTTCATCATGAGTCCTTTGGAATTGTCTTTGATTATTGTTTTGATCAGAGTAGCCCAGTCTTTCACAGTTGATCATCATTACAACATTGCTGTTACTATGCACAATTTTCTCTTGGTTCGTCACTTCACTCTACAACATTTACATAGGTTTTGCCAGGTTTATTTTTTTTTCTGAAACCACCCCCATCATTTCTTTTCTTTCTTTTTTTTTTTTTTTTTGCAAGGCAATCAGGGTTAAGTGACTTGCCCAGGGTCATAGCTAGTACATATCATGTGTCTGAGGGAAGATTTAAACTCAGGTCCTCCTGACTCCAGGGCCAGTGCTCTATCCACTGCTCCACTTAGCTATCCCCCCATCATTTCTTATAGCACAATAGTACTCCATCAAAATCATATGTAACAACTTGTTCAGCCATTTCCCGAATTAATGAGTATTGCCTTGATTTCCAATTCTTTGCCACCATAAAAAGACCTGCTATAAATATTTTTGTACCTATAGATCCTTTCCCCTTTTCTTTCAACTCTTTGAGATACAGACTTAGTAGTAGTGTAATTGAATCAAAGGGTATGCACAGTTTTATAGCCCTTTGGGCATAGTTCCAAATTGTTCTCAAGAATGGTTGGACCAGTTCACTATTCCACCAGCAGTTAATTAGTGTTCCTATTTTTCCTTCATCCATTCACCATTTTTCATTTCTGATAGGTGTGAGGTGGTACCTCAGAGTTTTTAATTTGCCTTTCTCTAATCAATAGTGATATAAGAGCATTTTTATGTGACTATGGATAACTCTGATTTCCTTTTCTAAAAACAATCTGTTTATATCTTTTGAACATTTATCAATTGGGGAATGGCTCTTATTTTTTTAAACTGACTTTGTTCTACAGGGCATATATTTGAGAAATAAGGTCTTTATCAGAGAAACTAGCTGTAAAAATGTGTCACTTTGTTGTGTATGGTACCTTTTAGCATAATGTAATTTTCTTGATTATCTCTTTTAATTAGGTTTTCTTTCTTTTTCTTTGAGATCATGATTGCTAGGCTTGCTTTTTTTTTTACTTTAGCTGAAGTATATTGAATTCTTCTTCAATCCTTTATTTTAATTCTGTGCATGTCTATTTCAAGTGTGTCTCTTGTAAACAACATATTGTTGGATTCTGGTTTATAATCCATTCTGCTATCTGCTTCTATTTTACAGGTAAATTCACCCCATTCACATCCACAGTTATGATTATTAGCTGTGTATTTCCTTCCATCTCATTTTCTTCCATTTCTTCCTCTGTTTCTCCTTTTATTCCATCCCTCTTCAAAGGTCTATTTTGCTTCTACCCACTACCTCCCTTAACCTACCCTCCCTTTAATCATCTCTCCCCTTCTCCTCTTATTTCCCTATTGGGTGTTACATTTCTATATGCAACTGAGTTTGTATATATTCTTCCTTCTTTGAACCAATTCCAGTGAGAGTAAGGTTTAGGCATTGCCTGTTACCCTCCCTTCCATTCTCTCCTCTATTATAAAACCTTTTCCTTGCATACCTCTTTTATGTGGGGAAAATTTCCCCATTCTACCTCTCCCTTCCCTCTTCTCCCAGTGTATTTCTCTTTCTTACCTCTACATTTCTTTGGAGATCATTCCAACATAATCAACTCATACCTATGCCCTCTGTCTATGTAGATTCCTTCTAACTGCCTTCCCTCAACTTCCAGCTTCTACTTGCCCAATTCTAATTTGTAACGAATAATTTTCTTTGGTAAACTTTTGTGCCTCTTTTTCCATTTGACCAGTTTTGCTTTTTAAGGAATTCTTTTCTTCAGTGAATTTCTGTGCCTCTTTTACTATTTGGCCTGTTCTGTTTTTTAAGGTGTTATTTTCAATTTTTTTGGGTGTCTCTTTTGTTAAGCTGTTAATTATCTTTGCATAATTTTTTTTTTATCACTCTCATTTCTTTGCCCAGTTTTTGCTCCATGGCTCTTAACTCTTTCTTTAACTCATCCAGGAATTCTTGTTGAGTTTGGATCCAATTAGCATTTTTCTTTGAGGCTCTTTTGGTAGCTGATTTCCCATTGTTGTTTTCAGAGTTTGTTTCTTGATCTTCCCTGACACTGCAGTAGCTTTATATGGTCAACTTCTTTATTTGCTGTTTGCTCATTTTCTTGACTTTAAACTTCATGTTAATTAATTTGACTCTGCTCACCTGGAGATGAGGAGACACTGTCTCAACTTTTAGGCTTTTTTTGTGCTACTGTTTCCAGAGGTAGTTCGGGGGGGCTGCATGTTTTTAGCTCCTCTAAAATGGTGTGATCCTAGGAGAGGTAAGGTTACTGCTCTCCTGGTCTGCATCTTGGTCTTTACCTAGGACAGGCCCCTGGTTTCCTGTAGTTACAAGTGTTAGTGCTTCTCTTTGCTTTGAAACTGTGACCAGGGCTCCTGCTGTCTTGTAACCAACCACTAGCATGCCTTCTACCCTGCAACTGCAGCCCAGAACTATGTATGAGAGTAGAGTTGCCAGTCAGCACCAGCTGTACCCAGTGCCAACACAGAGTCTCCTGTAATCTCTTTCTGACTGATTATCCGACCCCCTTACCATCTCTGGGAGGAGAGTTCTTAAAGTTGTTTGCTAATACTGTTGTGGCTGCTATTGCCACCAATGCATGTGTGGGTTCTGGATAGGCCCCCACCCCAAGGTCATAGACTCTTCCTGCCAACCTCTAGGCTAGAAAAACGTCTCACAACAACCTTTTTTTTTTAGTTCTAATGATCCAAAATTTGATTTAAGGTGTCATTTTAAAGTTGTTTGGAAGGGAATGTTAGAAGAATTCATCTGGGTGGCTGCTCATAATCTGCCATCTTGGCTCCATTCAGACTCGCATTTTAAATGGCCTACTGGGCTGCTCCACTAGAACATACCACTGATGCTTCAAGCTTAGCATAAAGTTAGTAGTCAATAAACACGTTTAAGCTCCTTCTATGTGCCAGGCATTCTGCTAAGTGCTGAGGATACAAATTAAAAAAAAGACAAGCCCTGACCTTAAGACTTTATATCTTAATGGGGGAAGACAATACACAAAAGGAAACTCAAGAAGGGAGGGAGGAAGGAGAAGTATTCAATGCTGGAACATCATGGAGAAGTCAGAGAAATCCAAAAATAGTGTAGCCAGGTGGGAAATGAGATGTCTGCATTGAGCCCCCTCCTTTAATGGTGTTTTTGGAGTTTATGCTTTTGCCCTCCAATCAGAGGGGCAGAGAGTAGTAATGAGGTATGAGTAATAAGGCTGATTGAATCTTTCAAGATGATGAGGTTTTCCCAATGATGAGCAATTTGGAGAATTCTTAAAGCATTGTTGTCAAGGGAGACGAGGACATAAAAAATTGAATTCATTTTTCTCTATAAATCTGATTTTTATCCTTACTTTTCTCAATGGTATCCTGAAGTCTCATCTAGATATCAGATCTTTATTTGAAAAATTTGCTGAAAATATTTCTGCCAATTAACTGTTTCCCTTCTAACTATATTAGTTTTGTCTATTCAGAAACTTTTCAATTTCATGTAATCAAAATTGTCCATTTTGCTACCTGTGATCTTTTTTATGCTTCACTGTGTTAATAACTCTTCTCCTATCCATAGTTGGCATACTCACATTTTTTGTAGCTCCACATGTATATAGATGTAAATCATGTATCTCTACTTTGTAAAATAGAGATATTTCTAAAAGTTTGCATCCATTTTGAGGGTGATAAAATCATGCTATGTAAAAGAACGATAGATATGGCTATTCAAAAGTGAAATAGAATGCTTTGGAGGTAATGGGTTCACCCCTAACTCCTTCTAGAGGATTTCAAGACCAGGATGGATGATCCTCATCTCAACCATCTATTCTAACCCTCTCATTTTCACAAATGGAGAAATTTAAATTCAACTTCGGCTCAGAAAGCTAGACTTAATCCAAAAGAACTCACCTATTGTCTCACAGCTAGTGATTCAAGATTCTGATCTAGATCTCTCTGGCTCCAAGTCTAGCACTCTTTCTATTACATGACACTATCTTTTGCAAAGACAATTAATTAGACTCTAAAATTCAATGAAATTAAACTTCCACCAGTTTCAGTAGATAGTGTCATATAGGAGGTTTCAAAACTCAAAGATATTTTCTGGACTCTTAGACTTTAAAATTTCTCTCTCTCTCTCTCTCTCTCTCTCTCTCTCTCTCTCACACACACACACACACACACACACACACCCTTTTTCTAATGTATTTATTCTGTGTGTTGTCTTTATGCAAATGCTTTCTTAATATTTTTTGTTAGGGCTTAATCCTCCATGCAAAAAACAACCCATATTTCTTCTGAGCTAGAAGATCTTTTAAATAATCAAGGTATATTTTAATCTCACACATTTCATAAATATTCATATCTATCTGAAAAGAGAACCTTGTCTGAGTGAGATTGACTAGTAAAAAATGCCAAGACACACTATGGCTGGTGTCAAGAGATTCAGTTCACAAGACTGTTATGATAAGTGTGTTAAAGATAGCGATAAGTCCATGGAAAAATATTCTTGTTAATGGTTCTGGTGAATAATAATGAAAATTCTCATTAATGTTATTAGTATAGTGATGTGTGTAGGGTGGAGTATTTCCTGTAATTTGGTTTACCATGAATATTTAACAGTCCTTTGGGTTAATGTTGGACATTGGCTACAACACAGCAGCTAAAACAGTATATGTTGAAAAAAGCACATGCATGTTTCTGGTATAGATTCAAAGAAAAGTCCACATTACTTGCAAATAATGTCTGTATTCTTTACATCCAAAAGTTTATACTCTATCTGCTGAAGGAAGGTTATAAACAGTTTAGCTAAAAACGTTAAATTATGAACATACAAATTCCAAGGAAGTGTTAAAATTGTATATTTAAAATACATACCATAAATACTGTTTTCTTCCTTCTTCGATCTATCATTTTCCTTAATTTGTCCAACTTTCTATTATGATCTTAAAAACAATGAGATATGATTTAGAAATAGAAAAGATCATCAACCTTCTTCATATCTCATAAACACAGGATCATAGGAATTTTAGAGTCAGAGAAGGACATCGATGTTGTCCAGTCCAACCACCTCATTTTACAGACGAGGAAATGAAAACTCAGAGTGATTTCCTGAAGTCATACCTCAGAACTGAGATTTGAACCCAGGTTGTCTAATTCCTGATCTGAAGATTTTTCAAAATATCATATTACGATCACCTTACTTTGATACCTTGTGAATCTGGGATATCATTGATATAGATATTTCCTATATCAATGCAGTTCACAATCCAATCATACCCTTCTATCCCACTGAACTCTTATCCATGCTGTCCTATATATCCTCCAGTTTCTTGACACCACGTGGATAGTAATAGAGAATGCAAGTTTTTTTTTACCAGTCACCTGGTTTCATTTATAGCAGGAATGTTAAGATTGACATAATTCAATTCCTTTACTTATTGGTCATGAGACAAGCATCTCACATTTAGAGTAAGAGCTGTTAATCTTTATAGATAATCTAAAAGTTGTTTGAAACTTTGTACCCTCTGCCTCATTTCCTACCACACTACCACCATTACTGAACAAGCAGATATGGGCTCACAGGTCTGAGGGCAATTTCGTCTTTTCCTTTGTTTCATGGCTTTTGAGGCCAAAGAATTCATTGCCAATTGGCCAGACTACTAATTAGCCTCTCTGTTATCAATTAGATTGGTCTTCAGAAAGCAGACATGAGTATAGGTTCTTGCCAGGATGATGCTGGAAGCCTTTCCACTGTGGTTGAAATTTCCAGAGCTTGTACAGAACTGTCATAGTCTTCAAGAACTCAGGGTCACTTCCCATCAAAGTGGGATTTTATAGAGGTTGAGAAACTAAACATTAGATATTGTCTTTGCAAAATGCAAATGAATCTTAGAATAGATGAGGGTTCTTAACTTTTTGTGTGTGTATCATGAACCCCTCTAGCCATCTGGCAGATAACAAGAGGAACCAATTATATTGAAATACAGTTTTTGTGATATAAAAGAAAAAAGTTCATAGACCTAGATTAAGAAACCTTGGCCTAGATTATTAATGAATATCAACCAATTATTTTGATAAGCACAGTGCTAGGCATACAGAAAGTACTCAATAAACTCTTTTGAATAACTAAATAAAACATTCACAAATTTTGCTAATGATTTTTCTAAATATTGTCCTTCTAAAATGACATCATGTCCTAACATTCACATTTACGAATCAAAAATTCAATTTATTCTATGCTAACTTCTTTTCCCACTGCTTAATACTATGTTTCCTCTAATTTCCAAATATTCTCATGTTTTCTATTCAATTTTGGCCTCAGAACAGTGTTATGCTGAACTACATTGATAGAACACTTTAAAAATGCTATTCTGGAGGGGAGGTCTGGGTAAAAGAGATATATTTTTGTTGGTTGGCGTTTTTAAAAAATTTGTTTTTTTTCCCTGTTGGGTGGAGCCAAGACTGTGGAGTGAAAGCAGTGATTTGCTTGAGCTCTCCACCAAAGCCCTCCAAATACCTGCAAAAAATGGCTCTAAATAAATTCTAGAGCAGCAGAACCCATAAAAAGAGTGAAACAAATTTCCAGCCCAAGACAACCTGGATGGTTGATTGGAAAGGTCTATTGCACCAGGAGAGGAGCATAGTTCAGTGTGAGCATGCAGGCAAAGACCAGGCCTCAGCAAACCTGGAGCAGGCTTCAGAGGACTGAGAAAATTTGACTTTCAAATACAAGATTCAAGAGAAGCATGGAGAGGTAAACAGGAAAAAGAAATCATAAGGGACTTACTAAGGTTGAACTGTTTACGCTCCTGCATGGAAAAATGATATTTGTAACTCACGAGACCTTTGTCAGTATTAGGGTAGTTGGAAGGAAAAAAATTACATGGATAGATAGATAGATGGATGGATAGATAGAGGGCACAGGGTGAGTTGAAGATGAAAGGGTGATACATTTGGATAATAAAATTAAGGGGTGAGAGAGGATTATACTAGGAGAAGGAGAAAGGGAGAGGTAGAAAGGGGGTAAATTATCTCACATAAAACAGACAAGAAAAGGTGTTTACAGTGAAGGGGAAGAGGGGAAAGTGAGAAGGAATGAGTAAATCTTATTGTCCTCGGATTTGGCTCAAGGAGGGAATATCATACACACTCAGTTGGGTATGGAAATCTATTTTACCCTACAAGGGGAAGAGGATAAGAGAGCGGGGGCAGGGTGGTGAGGGATGATAAAGGGGAGGGCAGATGAGGAGGGACAGGGTCAAAAGAGAGAACAGAATAAACGAGGGGCGGGTTAGGATGAAGGGAAACATGGTTAGTTTTCCACAACATGACTACTATGGAAGTGTTTTGCATCACTACACATTTATAACCTGTATGAATTGCTCAATGAGAGTGGATGGGGAGGGAGGAAGGGAGAACATTTAGAACCCAAAGTTTAAAAAAAAATGTTAAAAATTGTTTTCACATGCAACTGGGAAATAGGATATACAGGCAATGGGGTATAGAAATCTATCCTACTTTACAGGAAAATAGAAGAGGAAGGGAATAAGAGAAGGGGGAAATAGAAGAGAGGGCAGATTGGGGGGAAGGGGTATTCAGAATGCATGCTGTCTTAGTGTAGGGGGAGGGACGAGATGGGGAGAAAATTTGGAACTCAAAATCTTGTGGAAGTGAATGTTGAAAACTAAAAAAAATAATTAAGGAAAATGCTACATTTCAGTTAGAACTCAGTGAAAATACAGATGTAAATTGTATTTGCTCCTCCCAAAGAAAGATTATGCTCAAATTTTTTTTTCCTGGTACATTTTTTAAAGCCCCAGTTTTTCTCCCTCCTCCAAGAGAAGTATCTAAAGAGGATTTTTTTTTCTAGATCTGGCCTTATATGTCTAGATAAGATAACTTTGTGTGTGTCTGTGTGTGTGTGTGGCAATTGGGGTTAAGTGACTTGCCCAGAGTCATACAGCTAGTAAGCGTTATGTGTCTGAGGCCAGATTTGAATTCAGGTCCTCCTGACTTTAGGGCTGGTGCTCTATCCACTATGCCACCTAGCTGCCTCTAGATAAGATATCTTACATATTACCTGGGTTTATAGAGAAATCAGAGATGTTTCTGGCAAGATAATATGAAAAGTGGAATGTCCCCAACAGCTTACTTTAGGTCTGTGTGAGGATGTGTTTGGGGAGGGAGGAAACAATTCCTTGTTAATAAGTTTATGAATATTCATTAGAAGCACAACTCGGAGGTCAGAGATGACTCATATCCTATTAAAAAATAAGAAAGCATAAAGCCTTGTATGAACTGAGGCTAACAATTGATTTTTAAAGGCAACAAAAAAGGTTTTTAAAAAGCTAAATGGAGGGAAAGAAGACTAAGGAAAGGATAGGAGTCTTTGCAGGGTAGAAGGGAAGATAAGAATAAACATCAAAGAGAGGACAAAAGTATTCAATTTCCAATTTACTTATTTTTTTTTTTCATATCAAAGACACTGACTCCAGAAAAGGAAATGGTAGAACAGAAATAACTGGCAGGGAATAGAAACAATGTAATTGAGGAGATGGTATTAGAGCCTTTAAGTTCTCTGAGTAATACCTGACAAATATATAGTATGTTAAGGCTTATAAAGTACTTTACACACATTATCTTATTCTGCACAGCAATTCTGTAAGGTGGGTACTTAGAGGTAGTAAGTCAACTCAAGCTAAGTTAACATGCATTAAGAACTGAGAAACAGAAGTTAAGAGGCTTGTCCATATTCACACAGCTAGTGTCAGATGGGGCATTCAAACTCAGTTCTCTGATGACTCCAGGTCCTTCAATTTTTGTTATTAATTTATTTTTAGTTTTCAACAATCACTTCCATAAGCTTTTGAGTTTAAAATTTTTCTCTCCCTCCCTCCTCACCTTCCTCCCCAAGGTGGCATGCAATCTGATATAGGCTCTACAAATGCATTCCTATTAAACATATTTTCAGATTAGTCATGTTGTAAGGAAGACTTAGAACCAATAGGAGGAACCACAATAAAGAGGAAACAAAACAAAACAGGAGAAAAAAAAGAGCAAATAGTATGCTTTGATCTACATTCAAACTCCATAGCTGTCCCTTTGCATATGGATAGCATTTTCCATGATGAGACCTTTGGAGATGTCTTAGATCCTTGCATTCCTGAGAAGGGTTAAGTCTATCAACATTAGTCAATGCACAATGTGGCTGTTACTGTATACAACATTCTCCTGGTTCTGCTCACTTCACTCAGCATCAGTCTGTACAAGTCTTTCCAGGTTTTTCTGAAGTTCGCCTGCTCATCATTTCTTATAACACAATAGTATTCCATTACGCTCATATACCACAACTTATTCAGCCATTCCCCCATTGATGGGCATCTCCTCAATTTCCAATTCTTTGCCACCACAGAAAGAACTGCTATAAATATTTTTGTACATGTGAGTCCTTTTCCCATTTTTATGATCTCTTTGGGATACAACATGGGAAATAGTCAACAAGTGCTATTGCTGGGTTAAAGGCTATGCCCATTTTTATAGCCCTTTGGGCATAGTTCCAAATTGCTCTCCAAAATGGTTGGATCATTTCACAACTCCACCAACAATGCATTAGTGTTCCAATTTTCCCACATCTTCTCCAGCATTTATCATTTTTCTATTTTGTCAGGTCCTTCAATTTTTTTTTTTTTGCCATCACTCTACTGCCTTTCATTGAGTTCAATTTGCTACCTTCCAGGCACCGAAATAAATTTTCATTGTGATTGTTTAATCATTGTGGGTGATCTTTTGGAAAATATGGCAAACTGCATATGCTCCATGGGAAATGAGGAACTCACCTCCTAATTTATTGAGAAAATGAGAAGTCCTACTTTGTGAATTTTCTTCTCTCCCTTTCTTCATCTCAAAACCACATTCACATTGTTCTCCATTCTCTCCTCCTTTA